CCCTAGTTCTTCTTAATCAGGATTAGTTGAAAGGTTAAAAATTCATTGTCGAACAATTAAAATATTACATTAGAGTTAATACTGGCGTAGATTAATATTGTTTAATGCACTTGTAAATCAAAATTAATTTTCTAATTTTGATGCAAAAGTAAAGAGAAGTTTTAAAAAAAGTAATAAAAGAATTATGTTAGATAAAAGTGATCCATCGCCATAAGTACAATTAATGTCACTGTTATTAAAGAGAAAAACGTATGTGCTATATGGAAAGTAAATTAAGAAGGCAAAACAATCAAACAGAGCTCATTTCATCTTTACTGACCACATTTCGCTTTTACACAATCGATTATAGTTCAATCAATTATTTTTTACTTGAGATTTCATTGAGTTCGACTTCGTTTTTTTGCAAAATTGATTCGAGTTCTATCCAGTGCGTTTTCAATCTCTGCTCTTGATTTACTCATCATTAAATGAACAGTGGTCGAATACGCATTTGAAATCTAATGTGAAAGATTTACTTTATAACATATGGCGGACAATCGGTCAAAAACAAAGATGAACGTACTTATTCACTTGTAGTCTAATTTTTCTATGATTTGCTCTTCTCACTCATTGAAATAGTAAAGACAAAAATTAAGATGATACTTGTAATCAACGCCTTCAATTCTATATAGGGGCATGGATTTCACTCAACACAAAGAGAAAAAAACAAATGTATCGTGGAGGAATAAGACACATAAATATGTTTATATTGTAGACAATGGTTGACTTAATATCAAGATTTATTAATGCAATAATTGAATTGACTTCATTTTTCATTCTAATAGTTACCAAAGATCTTAGAAATATTTTTTAAGAACTTCACCAATGATTAGTATGGATCAATATTTGAGTAGGTTGATTACAAAGCTTGATAGTAGACAGCTACGGGTATATATTTTTGTGGATTTAGACCTTGTCTGGATCTGATAGATTTAGACTGAAATCTTTTTCTACGACTACCTGATATCCTTTGTGTACATGAACCAGTGAAAAACTATGGTTTTAGATAATTATAGGCTACTCTTCGAGAAAAAGTCAACATATAGTTATTTACAGTTGTTCACTTTTTCAGCACCTGCTGCTTAGGAAATTAGAAGTTTTGACTTAGTTAAAAACAGTGTTATATCAACAAATAAAATTGAACAGTTATTTGTTAAATAAAAACCCGTCAAGCCAACAGTAACATCAAAATCTTCAGCTGTATGAAATACTTTTAGCTAACTTTCTGTGCTCGAGCCGGTCGATCTAGGGTCTCGAAAGATCCATAATTCCCTTTTTGACATGTACAGATTGGTTTCTTAAAATAAATCTCAAGCTCGATTCATGTCATTTAATTACTTAAACAGGTGCATGCAATAATCATATTCTTTACTAATTACTATCCCTACAACTTATTTAACGTTATCTCTATACATTTCTTTCTTTTTGTCTTCGAATTGATTTACAACCTTGGGATTTTCCAATACGTATAGCTGAATATGATCAATTTGCTTTAGATAATAAAAGTCAAAATTATAGACTACCAAGATCATAGTTTCTTTCGAATATATCAACAGCTAGTGATTCACTTTCATTATCATGAAATAATACTAATGGAATATCATTTTCTACATATGATTATGATAGTTATGCATTAAATCATCATAGTACATGATGGTTTACGAATTGTTTTCAATTTCATCTAAATGGTGTTTATCTTTCTTTTTTCATTTGATGTCATATAAAAATAAATAATCATAAGTTTGAATATATTTTCCTAGTAGTTGCACCATACCGATTCACTGAAGTGGAACGAGTATCATGTCTGAATTAATAATCTATAAACAGAACATGCTCGTTCAAATTACAACAGTGGATCGGCAGGTAACCACTTCAATAACAACATTCCTATCTCCACTACAAAAGACACATAAATGTGTCGAGCGTCTCTAGAAGAGTCGATCGCGTAGCCGCTATTCAGAGATAGGATGGTATCGAAGTGGGCCTGACAATCCGAGAAAACAGAATAAAGAAATAGTTGATAGAAAATAAAGATGCGATGTCCCTCCAACGATCCAAGATAAATCTTAAAAGACCACCAAGTCGTTGGCGACACCGCGTATAGTTATTGCATTACTTCATAATTCATGAGTTTCGAAGTAAGCGGTAGTCGATCTCGAGAAAACGAACGCTATGAAGCACGTTTTTTTCCCTTTGAAGATGAGATGAAAAAATACATGCGAAATGCAGCATATTTATACTCGTAAAATGTATTACACCATCAAAATGTAATTACTACGTTTTTCTTACCCTCATTTTTGCAATTGGGTGATGAAAGGAAGAGAAAAACAAGGAAAGAAAGCACATAGTTACTGCGTAGTCAATAATAAACAAATATTTTCATAAATGGAGAGTAACCGTAATAATTGCAACCCTCTTGTTAAAAAAAATTCACATTTATCTAGAAACATTTCTTTTCTGTTTGTTGAAGGATTGAGATTTTGAACTGTTCAAGCAGCAATTTTTTTTTTCGTGACTTACCCTTCATAAAAAAAGAAAAGAGAGAGGTCGTCCATAATCAGTGCATAATGGGGGTCGGTCGAATTTCTCTTAGTTTTTTTAAACATTCTTCGTTTACTTGTGGATCATTATACGTAAGAAGAAAAAAAGAAATGTGCTTCATGTTGTAATACAAATTCTTCTTGAAAAACGGATAAATTCTGAACTAAGTTTACAGACATTTTTTTTTCTCATTTATTTATTTATCAGTATTTAGATGTTATTTCCTAATTGCATACATAGCAGCAGTAACAGATTTCTGTTTACTATAATTACCAATGTTTCATTCATATTGAACCACAGAAATTACCAGTGAATATTGTAGTTTATGCATATCCTGGTCAACCATTGTGAGAGGTCTACAAGTACTTTCTTTAGTATGATTCAAATGTGAACGTAAATTGTAGAAAAAGCATTACTGTTTGTTTTCCCGATGCAGCTTTTATGCTTTGAACTGTATTTATTTTTCAAGATCAATATAAGAGAGAACGCAATCCATTTCGCACGTTCTTGTTGTATGATATTATTTGTTTAAAAATAAACAATTTACAACACAACAAAGAACAGAAGGGAGAAAAATAATCGGTCTCCGCTGTACGGCAATCAAAATTGAATCAATATGATTATCTGTTAGCAAAAATAAAGCGCTATTTTATATTCTTCATAAGTCAAAACTCGAGATATAAAATTGCACATAACTATTAGAATCATAGAAAATAAATCTAACCAGTGTGGCATCATGAATGGTCGGTTTTTGTATTGCTTTTTTCTTATCATCCAGTACGTTTATTTTAAAAAGTAAAATATACCATAAGATGAAGGATGAAAAGCTCTACAAGGTACATTAACAACCTTATTTTATACATTCACATTTTGTTGTCAAAATGCACAAAATTCTTTACAACCAATTTTCAATACTGCGGACAGGATAATTTTATGGTACACGACAAATTCCTTTTTCTTATTTCTCTGATTAATGAGTCACATCAAAATCCATAATCGATGGTCGATTTTTTTGGACCAATTGATATGTGTTTCGATTATTTTGATGTTTTTTTATTACAGGCACATACGACTTTCAGAATAACAAATTGTATCTGTATCAATATGTTAGTTAATAAAAAGAAATGAAATCATAATCAATCACAAATGATCACTAAACAGTTTCGATCTCAAATGTTATGAATTATTATGTGTGAAATCCTATCGCCAATAAAATGTAATGAAATAAAGTTAAACACTTTGATTGATTAATTGATTAAATAAGAAAAGAAATTCGTTGTTTAACAATCAGTGATCTTATTCGCTGCATCGAAAATTGGTTGCACAGGATTTCATCCATTTTGAAAACAAAAGGTTCATAGATAAAATAAAATTGTTAATGTACCTTGTAGAGCTTTTTACGTTTCATCTTATGATATATATTATTTTTAAAATTAAACGTACTAGATGACAAAAAAAAAGAAATACAAAGATTGGCCATTTAGTTTAATTATCGTGATACACTTTCTTTTAAAAAAAAAGTTTAGGAAAAAAGTGCCATCATTCGCTCTCTTTCTATGTATTAAACCACTGGTAGTAAGGACATATTGAAAATATGATTTCATGTCTAAACTAATGACCACTATTTAAGTGTTTCGATCCCAAAATTTACAGTAGAAAACTGCGGCTCTACGATTTTGTAGACCTGAATCCAACAGATCAAGACAAGAATTTGGTTAGTTTCACACTCGAATATCTTTTCACCAATACTTGGCATCCTTTACACATACGACAAAATGATAAATCAAACTTCTAGCCGTTTATACGTTATTCTTCGAAAAAACGGCCAACTTGCAGTAATTTCTTGTTGTTCACTTTCTCGTCACTGGGTGCTTAAGAAATTTAAAGTTTTCGCTTAGTTAAAAAAGAGCACTATGTCAAAACGAAATTGCAAAAACTAATAGATACACTTAACTCATCCAACCAACAATAACATCGCAATCTTCAATGGCACATGATATTTTTAGCTAAGCTTTCACGCCCCGCGCCAGTTGATCTAAGGCTTCCACAAATCCGCAGTTCCTTATTTGACGGACAGACATTGAATTCTTAAAATAAATCTAAAACACAGTTCTGGTCATCTAATTACAGCAAGTCAGGTACATGCATTGATCGTATTCTTTACTACTACCCCGACAACTTATACAACGTTGTCTTTATTTTAGTCTTCGAATCAATTCCCAATATCGAGGTTCTCCAATAGATATACCTGAATATGATCAATTTGCTGTAGATAATGACCGTCAAAATTATAAACTTCAAATATTATACTTTCTTTCGAATATATCAACAGTTTGTGATTCACTTTCATCATCATGGGATAATACTAATGGAATATTATTTTCTACATATGATCATGATTATGATAGTTATGCATTAAATTATCATGGTACATGATGGCTTACGAATTGTTTTCAATCTCATTTAAATGGTCCTTATCTTTCTTTTTTCATTTGATGTCATGTAAAAATAAATAATCATAAGTTTGAATATATTTTCCTAGTAGTTGCACCATACCGATTCACTGAAGTGAAACGAGTATCATGTCTGAATTAATAATCTATAAACAGAACATGCTCGTTCAAATTACAACAGTGGATCGGCAGGTAACCACTTCAATAACAACATTCCTATCTCCACTACAAAAGACAC